GAAGACCTTGGTAAAACAAGATCCAGATCCAGATCCAGATCCAAATCAAAATCCAAATCAAAATCTAGATCAAGATCTAGAAACCAATCTAGAGCAAGAAACACCTCAAAAAACAATAATAATAATAAAATTGTAGCAAAAAAACATAAAAACCATATATATAAACAATGTCGCAACAAAGAAAACCATTTTTATCAAGCCGGGACCGCCACCCGGCGAAGCAAAAATCCAAACCAAAACCAAAACCAAAACAAAAACCAAAACCAAACCTTCAATTCAAAGTCGACCTCACGATCAAGATCATCAATAAGCAGGACATCTTCTCGCGGCCGCTCTCGATCACAAAACAATATATCTCGCCACAATTCTACAACCCGTGGCAGATCCAAATCTCGTCGCTAGAATGTCGAATTTTAAACTATGGACATAAGTTCATACCTACTCCAACCTCTAAACAACGCTTAGACATCACTTTACCGGATAACCCCTTTATGGCCCGATCTTTGGACGACTTAGAACGCCGCTACAATCTATTATTTGAATTTGGCGGAGGCGGTCGGTCAAAAGTCGTCAGGATCCCAAACCCTTATTATCACCCAAAACCAACCCTTCATATACAAAACTTTATTAATGCCCTAAAACCAAAAATATCATCTGATTTTATTAAAACACCACACTATAACCTTACTATTCAAGAGAAAAAAGCATTACACAATCTTGCAAAAAACAGGGATATAGTAATAACCCTTACAGATAAAAATTTGGGATTAGCTATTATTCCATACATGGAATATATTAAAGTAATGGAAGAAATGCCTAACAATATCGACTACGAAGAAATTAAGCATTCTGAGGAGGAATGCATAGATATTATGCAAAATCGAATTCTCCACTTAACTATGACAATGGAGAATAAACATAATAATTATTTTCTCCCAGAAGATTCACAACTTCCATACTTTCACCTATTACCCAAAGTTCACAAAAAACCTCTTAAATGGAGACCAATAGTAGGAATGCACTCATCTCCTACAAAACGAATTTCTGTTTTTCTAGCCCAAGTCCTTAAACAATGAACATAAAGCTATAAAAAGAGGACTTTTTGAAAATATATTTTTTAGAAGATATATCGATGATATTATAATTTTTGGTGATATAATTAATGAAAGTTTAATTAATGACATATATCCTACTCACCATAACATAAGTTGGCAACACATAGATAATGATAAAAAGGCTAATTTTTTAGATTTATCTATTGAAATTGTAGGAGAAAAAATTATCACTAAAAGGTACTCCAAGTTCCCCAGGATGGCTTCTTTTGTACACTACAAATCTAACCACCGTATGTGTATGAAAAAACAAGTAGTTACAAATGAACTTTCAAGGATAAGCCTACTCTGCTCCCAAATATCGGACTACCAAATAGAAAAAATCAATTTATTTGAATTTCTTACAGATTTTAAAGGATATCCTAAACATATCCTAATGGAAGCCGATACAATTATTTGGGATAATCGTTTAAATACACTTCATCAAATAAACAATAAACGAGTAGATGACAAACCTTTACCACCCATTATCCTACGAGTACCTTATGACTCTTTACTTTTTAAAGAGAAAAATTATTCTAAAATCCTACAAGAGACATTTAACAATACTCTAGGAAATCTAAACATTCAAAAACCTATCCTATGCGTTACCAACATGCCGTCTTTAGTCAGAATCCTTGCCCGGTCCTCAGCCGGGCACCCTAGCCCTAACCCTAGCCCTACTAACTAATGACGATCTAGTTAATCTTAATATATTAACTAAAACAAAAAGTTAATTAAACATATTAACTTAAAGGAC